CCCCCTCCTCCCCCTCCCATATCCGTCCCTCACCCCAGGCCCTTTGCACACGCTACTCCCTCTGCCGAGAACACTGCCCCCTCCCCCCCCTTCCAGCTCCCTCCTTTAGACCAGGGCTGCTCAGTGCGATCCACCGACTGGGCCACATCCATGAACTGTTTCCTCCGGGTTCATGGCAAACGCAGGGTTTGTCATGAAACACTTAGAAATATTTTCAGCAATTTGCTCTTGCTGATGCCTCTAAGCACACGGTCAGTGGGCCCATCTCCCTGAACGGGTCCAGGCCTCTTTGGCGACGCTGAGTTCAAGTCAAATCTACCTGCACGTGGTGTGCGGTTCCACACGGGCCAGGCACAGGCGCACCACGTACTGGTTTCGGTGGGTTGGAAATTAAAACAAGCAGGGGAACCAACAACTGGCCCTCCTGCGTGTTTGAGGACAGCCTTGGGCCTCAGCTCAAGCATCGCCCCCTGGGGAGGCCTCCCTCTGCGTGAGCTCACGCAGCACTTCCCTCCCCCAGCCCCTTTCTTAATTTCAAGGTCTGTGTCGCACGTGTGTGCCCCTTGGGTTGACGATCATCGTCCCCCGGGCTGCGTGAGAGCATCTGACCTGTTCCCCGTCGTATCCTCAGGCTCCAACACAGGGCCTGACAGGCGGGGACATGGGGCGCTTGAATGGACAAGCTGCCCACGTTCCCCAGGGTTCAGAACAGTCGTGGCGGGGGCTCAGTCGCGTGTCATGATAGCCTGGGAGGAGTAGGGCCCCACGAGGTGAGGGTGGCCCTCCTGCAGGAAGGGGGACTGCGCCGGTGGTGGCAGGTCAAGGAAAGGGGCTGGGGAGTCAAACCTGTGTCTCTCGTCTTTGGGGTCAAGTTCCCCGTTTCAGAATAGGGACACTGCCATTGGTCATGTCACAGATGAATAGGGTGGTGATTTTCCATAAACACATTTTCCTCAGGTCCAAGACAGCCCTCTTCACCCTAAAATTCTACCCTGGCGACCCCAGCTTGTCACCTCCAGGACAGCCCTCAGGTGGAATGGCCATTTCTCGTTTGAGCCACAGGGTTGTGGAAGTGTCGGTGGCTCTGGGGTGGTTACTGTTGGGGGTGGGGGTGCTCTGTAATCCCAGTTCATAAAACCCAGAGCTACGGCAGTTACCTTAGTTACATCTTCTCTGGGTCACCCCCAGTATGTTTGGGTTAGTTGTAAAAACAGCTAACGTTTTTAGTGGGAAATGAAGCTCATTTGTAAAAAGGGATGCACATCCGTCACCTAATAAGAACAGACCTTCTTTTAAGCACTTTATATCTTGGCCTCGTTTAATCGTAGCTGCAGCCTTATGAAATAGGTTATTCTCCCCTTTCTACAGATGGGTAAACTGAGATTCAGAGAACCAACTTGCCCACAGTTAGGAAGCAGGGGAATCTGCCGTGAAAGATACGTTTGACTCAACAGGACAAGCTGTTTTCACTCCCCGCATTGCAAAAACCAACTTAAAATTGATTTTAACTGGGCATTATCTGCGCTATTTGCTCATGGGGTTAGAGAAGGGGAGCGCTGCCTTATTTCCTTCGATCCTACACTTGAAAACATCTAGAGGGAATGCGTATGATTTATTTTTGCCTCGTTTTGACTTTCCTCGCGATCTTAATGTTCCTATTCCACTGGCAGCTGCTTGAACCTGACCCGGACCAGCGGTTTTCTCGCTTGTCTGACGTCCAGAACTTCCCCTACATGGATGATGTGAACTGGGATGCAGTTTTGCAGAAGAGGCTCGTTCCGGGATTCATTCCTACTGTGAGTCAATCCTAACAAATCCATAGGACCTCTCACCAGTGCCTATCCCCCGTGTGCCAGATGCACAGCTGGGCTTGTTAGAGGACCACACAGGGGCTAAAGACAACTCAGATTCCTATTTTACAGATGAGGAAGCTGAGGCACACACAAAGAACTTGGCCACCAAAGGGCCCCATGCTAGCAAGCGGCCAAATTGGAACTCTAACCCAGGCCTACCTGTGCGCAGTTCTGGCTCCTAACCGCTTTCTGTGCATGCTTTTCAGGAAGGGAGCCCTAAGCCACCTAATACGTAGACCTCACTTAACGTCATCGATAGGCTCTGACTTTTAAGAGAAACAACATAGAATGAAACCACTTTTACCATTGGCTGATTGACATAAACCAGAGTTACGTCCCCACACATCTCAATGCTAAGAGTTCAGCTCCTCAGCCCTAGAAGGACACAAAACCTCAAGGACCTGCTGCTGTCCTTTCCAGGAGTCTGCCAATTGAGAAACAAAGGGGCCACCTGCAGTACCTTCAACCATAAATTTTAAAAACACGAAATTCACACACATGAAATTAAAAACAAAGACAGACAGAAAAAACAATGCTTTCTCCGATTCCAAACATGTAGGAATTTGTATCCGTGGGGCTCTGTGAGTCCCAGGACTGAAAACGGTTAGGGTTGGGGTGAGGTGTTTGTTCTTACCATTCATCCCTCTTATAGTCGTAATGACTGAGAGCCGAAGGGAAAGAATTCCCACTGCGGGGGTCCCCGGCCCGGGGCCCCCCGTGGCCGACTGCAGACCGCTGGTGAGAGCCAGAATCGGGGTGCAAGTGCACAGTGAGACGGCAGTGCACTGGATTCTGGGGGGTGGACAGTCTACCTTATGGAGCGACCAGACGNCCAGACATTGGGGCCAAGGACTTACCGGGCTACTCTGCAGGGTCCAGTAGGGGCAGCTGGTGCCAGGTTGACCCATGACACTAGGCACCCCTCCTGCTGCTTCCAGACCCCGCACCACTGCCATTAACCGCCAATCCTGCGCCCAGGGACACTCCACCTCCGGGTCTGACTTTTCTGTGAATCGGAATCACCTGGGGAGCATGTTCAACGTGCAGTGTCCTGGGCCTCGTGCTCGGAAACGCCGACGGGAGGAGCCTCCCTGGGTCACTGGGACGCTGGGACGCTGAGCAAACAGCTCAAGCGAGTCTAACAACCCACACGACCCTTGGGACACACTTTGAGACACAGAACCCCAAAGCTCAAGCGTTAGAAAAATCATTGTCGTTTGATTTCAACTCACAGGAGGCTCATTGGGAGTTTAGAGAAATAAACAAAATATAGCCAAACTCACCCGGTACCCCGGGGTGCTCCGCTAGGCCCGCGTGCGTTTGCTCAGGTGTGGCTCGGGAAGGAGCCGGGGGTC